TAATAACATCGTCAATTGCCATTTTACAAATATATATCGGCTAATATACCGAGGAAGCTAAATGTCAGAGTATGAAGAGGCACAAAGTCCACATTAGGAGTTTGATGTGAATGGATGTGTCAACAAAACACACGAGAGCCACTGTTTGTTTCACGTGTGAAACTGATTAATCAGTTTAGTGTCTGTGTTTTAGAGTGGGTGGTATTGACAAAGTTATATGCCTGCCTCTGATTAACTCCTGTGGCTGAGACTTGATTGGTTTATTTACCTGCCAGCTGTTGTCTGAAGACACACCTCTCTGGACTCGGATGATGTACTCCTGACAAACAGAGAGAACAAAGCCGTCAGAACATTTTATCGTCTGCATACATGAGGAAAACATATTTCCCACAGACAGAAGGCAGATCATTAACGTAAAACAGGATTGGGCCAAATGTAGAGCCCAGGGGAATATAATTTAAACCACAAGGGGCTAAGATTTATAAATATCAATTTGATAAGGTGGGTGCAGGAGGAAAGGTACGATATGATGAGGTTCACAAATTGTGTGATTTATGCAATAAGATTTGATGATTGTGTTGAATGGATATCATAGGTCTGAAAGCAGGGCCCCCACAACCCCAACAACTTTGTCACCTTAACTTTTTCCATGAAGTTACTTGTAACGGTTGTAAATGTTTCTGTTGACCGATCAGCCGTAAATCTGAATTGCAGATTGGTGCAGTGAGATGGGGCTATTGTTTAGATAAGTAATGATTTGTTTGGCAACCAGTTTTTCAAATCCATTCCATACTATGGGTCAGATACTGATGGGCCTGTAGTTGGGAGTCAGAAGAGGGTAGTGCAGCCCTACAATTTATATAAGCTTACTGTAAATTCAAACATTGGTCAAAATGTATTTCCTTTTAATTGCATGTTCGTGAATGGGAGAACCGGAGTACCTGGCGTAAACCCACATGTAACTGTATTTAATGATTTCACACTGTGTAGTGGGACTATTTGAAGGCAGCTTTTAATTCCGCTGGTGACATTTAAACATGGCAGCCCGCTTTCATCCATGGGCAATTCCAGCTGCTGCAGGTCCAATCTCATCCTGTTCTTCTTTATCGTTGAACACAGCTGCAGGCTCTGACTCTGCAGTGGCCAATGGATGCTTCATCGCTAGTTTCTGATTCGGGCAGTTCAGTGGTTACCATGGGTGCTGAAGTGTTATCCTCATCAATATTTACATATCCTTCTCCAGAGGATTATTCATGGCTCTTGATGAAAAAGACCAGGCATGTTTATTGTTTAGGGTACTGGTGTTTATGTGTGTACAACATTTGGTGCAGATCTGAATACAAATCTGGATCTAGAACATTTAAATCAATCAATGAAATTTTATTTGTAAAACCCATATTCACAAATCATTCTTTCTCTCATAGGGGTTAACAATGTGTGACGTCCTCTGTCCTTAGCAAATACCAAAAAAAAGTATTTTCACGACAGGACATTTTCCAAACTGGTAAGATTTGATGAGGTTCACAAACAAAACTGAAATTGTGTGGTTTATGCAGTAACATCAGATGATTGTGTCAGATGGATGTCATGGGTCTGAAAGCAGGATCCCCAAAACCCCAACCTTGTCTAGTGACACCTTAACTTTTTCTATGAAGTAACTCACTACGGTTGGAACTGATTCTGTTGAGTGATTAGCCCTAAATCTGAACTGCTGGMTGCAGGGGGGAGGAGCTATTGTTTAAATAAGTAATYATTTGTTTGGCAACAATTTTTTCAAATCCATTCCACACTATGGGTCAGATACTGATGGGCCTGTAGCTGTTGGTAGAAGTGCTGGTTCGTTGGTAGCGATGGTGCGTATATTGCTTTGCTGGACTTGGTCACTCCAGGCTATGATGGCCACTGACTCATCAAACAATTGGCTTTGTTACTGTATAGTTTTGACCAGTTTGTTTATCAGACCCCAAATAACTTTTGAGTTACAAGCAGAATTTTCAATGATTGTGATGATGTCTGCCTACGTTTCTCTCCGTTCTCTTATTACCCTGTTTGTTAGCATTGCTCTTACAATGAAAGAGGGCAAGCTTACCCTCCTTTGAGTATAACAATACAATACAATATAATATAATATAATAATACTGTAAATTCAAACATTGGTGTAAATCAACAGAGGTACTATGCTACAGAGGTGCAATGCTACTGGTATATAAAAGAAAATAGATACTAAGTAGAAATTGTCCAATTCTATTTATTTATTTTGTTTGTTAATTGGATGTTCTTGTGTGGGAGAAACAGGAGAACCCGGAGCAAACCCACAGGTACATGTATTTAATGATTTCACACTGTGTAGTGGGACTATTTGAAGGTAGCTTTTGTTTCCGCTGGCAACATTTAAATGTGGCAGCACGCCATGGCAAACCTTTTAGCGCCACAGCAAAACGGCACACCACAGTAAGTTTGTGTTGTGCTTTCATCCATGGGCAGTTCTATTGTTCACATGGAGTCACAGAAGTAGATCATTTCCATCGTCCCGGGTTAGTGCAGCACCAGTCTCATTGAGTGATGCCAAGTCTAACGCCTTTGTTGAACAAAGCTCTTGCTGTTACTGTAGCATTCAAAACAGCTACTGCAGCATCAAACAGAGCTTCAGCAGGACTGGCCTCATGCAGTGCTGCTGTGGCATGGTCCACAGCGTCTTTAGCATTGCACCAAGTTGTATCAAAATTGAACACAGCTGTAGCACCGGTTGAAGGCAGTGCTAGTGAGAGTTTTTGCAAAGCATCTGCAGCATTGTACAAATCTACAGCCACGTTGAGCACAGCTGTAGCACTGGTTTTACCATCCTGTAGAGCTGTAGCGTCGAAGACAGCCACTGCAGTGTCAAACAGAGCTACATCAGAACCGGTCTGGTGCAGTGCTACTGAGGAGTCGTACACAGCATCTGCAGCTTTGTACAAGCTTTCAGAAAGGTTAAACACAGCTGCAGCACTGATCCCTTCCGGTGGTGCTGCAGTGCCTGACGAAATAGAAGAGAGGCAGTTCTTGTCCAGTTCGCCTGCAGCATTATTCACAACGTGCGAAGCGTCATACAAAGCTGTAGCAACTTGGAACACAGCTGTAGTACTGGTCTTATCCAGTGATCTTGCAATGTCTAACATGGTTGGTGCACGTCCAATCTCCTCCTGTTCTGAATTGATGAATGGGAAGCAATAGTCCAATACTCTCCTCACAGTTTTAGTGACTGCGGTGCCTATAAGCAAACCAAGGGTCTGGAAGGGCATGTTGCTGTTTTTGTTTCCTGTCAGAAAATGTGGGGATAAGAAAAATCTGCTTCTCTTGTTTCGTGGCTATGCTAATGAGGTCTTTCGGGGGGTTTTTTTGGCCGGTGGCCTTATGACCATACAGAGACAAAGGTAAAATGTAAGTATCGAAGGCATGATGATGTCATGTTTTTCCTCCACACCTGCTAATATGGTATAAAATATAACCTCTCTGAATCAAACATCAAAGGTCTGAGCCTTTGATGGGTTTTTGCAGGGTTGAATGAAGATGATGAATGAAGGAGTTTTTTTGGTTGTTGTTTGGTTTAAGTTGGGAGCAACCTTGTCCGTTTGTTCGTTGGTTGGTTTGTAAGCAAGATGACACAAAAAGTGCTAAACGGATTTCAACAAAAAACTTGATGGAAGGACCCAAGGTCAGGGAAGATGTCATTCAAATTTAGTGTAAATCTGGATCGGGTGGAGATCCAGGATATTTAATTTTTTTTCCACTTTCTTTAAAATTGTGAGATACAGCGGTTTTCAACCTTTTAGTCGATTATTCGGTGGATAATTCATGGATCTTGATGAAAAAAAATTGGGCATGTTTATTGTTTAGGGGAATGATATGTATGAGTGTATGAAATTTGGTGCAGATCCAAATACAAATCTGGATCTAGTAAAGTTCAATCATTCAATTAAATTGTATTTGTAAAGCCCATATTCACAGTTTCTCTCAAAACAAGGTGCGACATCCTCTGTCCCTTACCCGCGGCAAGACTAAGAAAAACTACCAAAACCAAAGTGGGTTCATGAGGGGACTGTTGGAGGCGCTGGAGTGACAATTGATTCAATAATATGGGGGTTATGGTGGTTTTACAGTAGTAGCTATTGTAAAGCTAACTGGTTAGCTCAACTGATTGCAGCCTGACTGTCAACAACAAACAAAACTTATGAGAGAGCTGCCCTGCTTTGTTTTTCATACAAACAATATTATAACGTTGTAACATCGACAAGCTCACTGTTGACGTGCTGTTTCTAGTTGTACACAAGGGTTCAAAGTTCATGTTTCTCTTCAGGGTAACACTGAATTGGTTCATCCTCGGCACTGTACTGGTTTAATAATGAATCAGAAAATCTAAACATTTACTGTCTCAGTCGACTGCATCAGACTGTTGAGTGTCAAGAACGAGATCTGGAGAATTTACAGAAAGCAGCAAGTGATTCAATACAATCCTCATATCTATCACTGAAGAAAGGGGGGGGGGGTAAATAATACCTACAGGTTGTATTACAGGTGTTTGGTGGAGGTGATTGATGCCGAAGAGTAGAGCACTCATCAATAACTCAAACAGCAATATACATTGTGTTGTATACAACTTTAGCTGGTCAGGATTTTAAACGACTTCACTGAAGTGAAGAAGAGTTGAATGGACTCTGGTATTGTGATCAATAGCTCCAGGGCTGGAACCGTTCAGTGAATCGGGGACAAAGCAAATCGTCACAGTTCGCGATCGAGTCCAGAAGAGCTTCGAGGAAAAATTGCTTAATCAGTGACAGCGCTACCGAGCCCGTGTCAGCTGCCTGTCCGATAATGGAGACACGGCGCGGGTCGAATCCACCGCAGCAGGTTGGAGACACATGTCAGCTGACTCACAGGAGCTGGGGCTGTTTGTTACAGCAGATCTGATCCGGAGCTCAGAGGACGTCTGTGATTAATGTCGTGTTTCACGGCAAAGAGGCTCGAAACGAAGCTTCTGCCACCGCGTCCGATAATGGAAGTGGTGACGCAGCGATAGACTTAAACGCCCCCTTCGGAGGAACTTGGCTGTTTTCAACGGACCGATGTTCGCCCGCAGGGGAGCACCGAACCTCGGGTTCACACCCGAACATTCATCCGCTGGTGTTTGGGTCCGGGGAACACTCACCGTGTGGGACTGCAGGTTCTGGCTGGCTTCGATCACCGCGGTCAGGGGCACGGTGTCGTCCAGCAGCAGCTTGCCGGGGGCCGGCTTCTCCAGGAAAGACATCCCGGGGCATTAACGGCGTAAGTCCGAGCCGAGCGTCTGTCTGTCGGGGACTGAAGCCGCCGGAGAGACACTGAGGCGGAGCCCCGCTGAGCGGAGGAGGAACAACAACAAGCCGAGCTAGCTGTTAGCTTAGCCTCATCGTAACCAGGAAGCACTGTTCCGGTCGGACGTCATCACGACAGCGTCGTCATTAATAGAAAGTTGGAGAAAGGACGCAAAGCTGCGTCACCGCGCCCTGCTGGTCAGGAGAAGGAAGTGCAACCAAGTTGACCCTAAATCAAGGTCCAGAAAAAAACCTTTAAGTTCAGTTTGTTTTTAAAATGTTTGAAACTGAACATTCAGAACCCATAAAATATAAATATACATTTTAAAATAACTACACGTAATACAAATAAACTGCATACATAATTAAAATCTTGAGCTAAGAAGAGGAAAGGAAATAAAACTCAGGTTCACTAAGTGACTGTGTGCAGATTGTAGTAGTCGTGTGAGATTTGATACCAACACGCCCATCCAAAGACCAGAATCACCAGAACCTAAAGGGATAGTTCGCCCAATCATACAAATTCACTCATCTATTCACCACTATGTCGATGGAGGGGTGGGTGAAGTCCGTGAGCCTCAACGTTCATATTCGCATCATTTACTCCATGTTTTTAGCCTAAATGTGCTGTTATCCTCCTAGTTACTGCTGCAGTTCTCACAAGAGGAGTATTTCTGTGGTGGGTATCGGACTGCAGCACTTACTAGGAGATCAGAAACCCACCATCAGACTAGTGGTGTGTAGATGAGTCAATTTAAATTTAAATTAAGTCTTTTTTGCCATACTGATAATGTGAAGGTCAGAATCCACAAAGACCAGACAAACTGTTATCTGATTGAATAATTTAACATGTTTGACTAAAGGCGGCTAAATTTATGGCATTAGGAGCAACACTACACTGAAGACAAAATGGGAAATTCCTGTTACAGCAGCAAGGTATCCCACAATACAAAGTATGAAAATATAAGTGCAAGGGTCAAGTTTTCACGTTACTTATGTTTTTCATTTACTTACGTGATAGTTAATAAATAATGGGTTTTGTTCTGTTGGACAAAAGATATTTGGAGACATCAGCTCTGGCTTAAGGGAATTTCAACATGTACATTTCAATATTGTCTTATGTTTTATAGATCAAACAATCTGGAAAATGGTTGGCAGACAGATCAACCGTGAAAATATTTGTTGGTTATTCTACAAACAACATGTTGAGGTGATTGGTTGGACTGAGGAGCAGTCTGCTGGTCCTCCATCGACGGGTTATACGCAGCACCACAGTGAGGCAGCAAGGGGATACAATTAGAGGCAATGAACTGGACAGAAAAAAAGATGCTGCATTTCACAATTTAAATAAATTAAATCCAATGATAATTTTATTCAACACAAAAGTTTCTTATGCTAAACAAAATGCAAAGCAGAGCCAAAAAAATACAAACATTGCATTCTAAATCATCATCGGTGTCTGACGATTCTGCTCAGTGTTCTTCTTCTTGTCAAAAAAAAAAAAACAATAGCATGAAATCTTCAATGTGCAAATTCCACTGTGTAGATAAGTTGCTGCAAACCAGAACCAACTTAATCCAGGAGATGCTGAGCTGCTGCAGCGGCGGTGGCAGCCATTTTCAATCCCTGAAACTATCACATCATCTGATCTGTTCACTGTCAGCATGCTGTGACCTCTGACCTCATCTCAACCCATCTTCTGCTGATTCTCTGGCATCATCACCATCACCTCCCCCTGCATCACCATCTTGTCCTTTACCGAGCATGTCACCGCAATCAAGGCGAAGGACATCTTGATCTTGACGACCTCGGCTTCTGCCAGCACCTCCTCGTCAACATACAGAGGTGCTGGGAAGCGGATCTCCTGGTGCAGGAAGACGCAGCCATGGCCGGGCATTCTGGTGCCGAGCACAGCCGAGATCAGGCCATTGATGAGGACGCCGTGCACGATGGGTGCCTCGAAGGAGGTCTGGCTGGCGTAGGCCGGGTCAAGGTGGAGGGGGTTGGTGTCACCTGTCAGTTTGGCGAACAGCTCCACATCCTGGAAGGAGAAAGCTTTAGAGAGGGAGGCTCGCTGGCCTATGTGGAGCAGCCTACAGGGTGGAGGAGCTGCTGCGATGGTCAAGAGGCACCGCTGTGATCTGTTTAAGATGCTCCTCCATATGAAACTCATCCTGAACAAAACAATGCTTCTCCCCCTTCAGTCCAGCTGCAGTTCTCGGCTGTTTCCTGTCAGCGCCAGCAGAAACGGAGACACCTGAAGACAAAATGTGCGAAAGCAGAGGTTCACCCTTGACCTCTAAAACCCAGCTGTGAAAAAACAATCTGAACTTAACATGTTATTTTAAATGTGTCATGGTGTAGGTACTGTATCTGCAACAAGATTTATATGAGCAGGTTTGGAATAATTGATGAAGTCTGACCTGCAGCACTCTGAAGGCACAGGCCTGGTTCTGGTAGGAGCCCAGCAGAGTCAGGGAGCACCACAGCTTCACCAAACCCCTGAGAAAACACACACACACACACACACACACACACACACACACACACACACACACACACACATTGTTTAGTGCCAGTGACTCCAGTCTGAGTTCCGGTCTTAGTCCTGATCTGGTCTCGTCCGGACCCGGAAGTGTTGTGGCTCAATGTGACGCTTCGCTTTATCTACAGTCTATGATCTGAACGTTTAGCTTTAGCTTCTGTTAGCTTCATGACACGGAACGTTCCGGCCTCACAGTCTGTGTTTCACACGGACCCCTCCGCTGTCCGGACCGGACTTTGAGNCACACACACACACACACACACACACACACACACACACACACACACACACACACACACACACACACACACACACACAAAACCAATTCAGTCCATCACCTGTAGCATGTGGTTTGAACCAGAAAGTGACACAAGAGTGGAAACTCGTCTGAAGCTCACCTGCTGTAAACACGCAGAAAGGCAGTGCGTTTGTCTTCATCGTACTTCAACACGTCAAAAGGTAAAGCTGCTCCCACCTACACAACACATAAACATGCATGAAAACAAAACTGCCTCGACACCTCAGGCGGACTGTTGCTCTGTGTGCTGATGTTCATTCGACTGTTTCAAAATGAGCACAGTTTCGGTTAAATTGCCGCTAAGCTGTTTGTTTGAACCACTCAGCAAAGGTGTCTCAGAGAATGATGGATGCAGGCGTGCCTGAGGGCTTCCCAGCATGCACTAAGCCATGGGAATCATCAAGAAAAGAATATCTGAAGACTTAAAAGACGACTCCGTACTGTATTTTTTCCTGTTGATCAATTTGCTTATTATTTCAGCACTAGCTTGACATTTTCTCCTCTCAGCATCAGAGCACATCACATTTGTTCAGCTGTGGTGGGAATCAAACCGTTGGCCTGGACATATTTATGACCATACCTCTCCATGCAGGCTCTTCAGGCCTGTGATGATAAACTGCTTCAATTCAACTGCACTCAGTCTGGTAGACTCATCTTCCAGCTCACTACACACACAGAAATATGAGTTGTGATCAATGTATGGGTGTTGTTCACAGATAAGTGCAGTAATCAAGTATACATGTACAATATTTAAATATTTTGGAGCTTTACAAAAGCACTTCACAGATGCATCCAAATGTAAATGATTAACGCTTCAAATTAATATATATTTAGCTGATCAGATTCCTCCCTGATGGGTAAGAATCTAAAGATACACATAATGTCTAGGATGGCCTCCAAACTAGTCTCGTCATGACTGGTCCAGCTGACGCTTGGGTCAGGAGAAGACGTGTTCAAGTGAGGCCTGAAAGTTTGAAGTGCCAAACACTTCTGCACGGTATTGTACATTTATCACTTAACCCTTCAATTAAAAAAGAGACAGTGACTTACAGGCAGACATTCATGTAGTGGTATGGCGAGGCGTTCTTTAACACCACCCGTTGGTAAACACCAGATTCGTCCTTCTTGTCAACGCTGCTCATGATATTACAGCATCAGCGACTCTGGCTCCCTCAAGTGATGAGCAGCTGACGTCAAACTAAAACATGAATCACATGATGATTAAAAGAGATGATTTAAAAATAATAATAATAAGTCAAACTCTAACGTGTGTCTGCTGTTCTGAGGTAGATTGTGACTAAACTATATATTTTTTCTTTAATGGATTTATTGTGCACAAGCCTGAAAAACAACAACAAATCAATAGATTAACACAGCAACTAATCAAAGAGGCAGATTCCACCAAGACTCAACACTAAAACCAGACTTTTCACACGGAGGATAAACTATTTGTTTATTAGGTTCTGGTGGAGGGGGTGGAGCCTGAGTCTCTTATCAACACATGTCACAGCTGATCATGTTGTGCCAGTGCTGGGTGAGGTTAGCTTTAGGTTGGGTGTTTGACAGACATTCACTCAGGCTCACAGGGCTTAATGTCCTAACATATTATCACATGTCTCGATTATATCTCGACACATCCATGTAATGGTTCAGGTCAGAATCAACACAAACAGCCAGAGCAAGAAGAAAGCTCATATCTACCTCGTGGAACAGTCGTGTACCCGCCTAAAGAGCTAAACTAGCTAACGAGAGGTCAAAACGAAGCTAGCTCGTACCTGTTGAGCTGTCCTCTAAACACAGCTAACAAGCTAACAGCTTGAACATGAAGCTGCAGGAAGTTTACTCACCAGCTTCACTGAAACTCAAAGCTAACAAGCTAACAGCTCGTGATATTAAACATGAAGCTGCAGGATGTTTACTCACCAGCTTCACTGAAACTCAAAGCTAACAAGACAACGTGTTTTCAGCTCGAGGGGCTAAGCTAACCTGAGCGCATGCGTGCTCGTTGTGGTGCGTTCACGTCTGCTCGTTCAATCGCCCACAGACATTTTTTCGTGAAATTCTATTAAAGGGATAGTTCACCCCAAAATGAAAAAAAAAACACCTCATCGTCGCCTCTAAGCCGGTGGAGGTGTGGGTGAAAAGTGTTTGAGTCCACGAAACACTTTTGGAGTATCAGGGGTAAAATGTCTCCATGCTGCTCCTGTGGTGTCGTCCAAGTGTCCGCAGGTCCAAACATTCAAATTCAAGTAGAAATGTTTACGATGTTTAAAGCACGAATGTTTACGGAAGTTATCACTGATGTCGTCACGTCACATGACCCCTGATGCCTCTTTAGAAATTACAGAAATTATCTTTGATGAAAATAATTATTTCACATGAACGTTTTAGTTTTGGATGAGGCAGGATTCATGAATTTATGTGCAGCCAGCGATCAAGATGATTTGGCCTCACTTTAGGGGAGCTGTCAAGTCGTCCATCTTTATCTACAGTCGATGAATATATACAAATACACTGAGTTATGTAAAAAGAATGTTATTAATGGTTGTGCACACTCATTTAAAGTGACCTGGTACATGTCATGTCAGGCCTGACAGGATTAAATACCTGTAAGTGATTTGATACACAAATGATTCGTCATATTTCTTGTTACGAGGCTGTTTTTATTGGGAGTTACAGAACTCTTTGTTTAGCATATTGCAGGTTAAGAGCAAAAGATTTATGTAAGAATATGCAAACATTATGATTTAAGCTGTGAAATAGTTTTAATTTTTCATAGCAAATCCTTAACAAGTGATTACAAGTGATAATTTATCAAAAGTTTATACAAATAACACATAAATCAATAATTTCCCATTCATAAATCGGAATGTTTCTGAGATTAAATATGCAGCAGGACAGATGAGACATAAACAGACATCTGTCATTCAGTGAAACGAGACAGAAATACAGTTTTCTGAGAGAGAAATGTGAAAAATCCTCACATGGAATGTTTTCACTCGGTTTTCATATCTAAAACAGAGATTACATCCTGGTGCTGTGTGAAATCCAGAGTAACTTCAGTTGGAGGCATGTTTGTGCGTTTGTTCAGTGTTAACATATCTAAAGGCTGTCTTGGAAAAGTCTTACAATAAACAATACCAGTGTATCACCACCACAATCATTGCCTTCATCATGTACATCATCACTATTCTAATCTTCATCTTCACAATCACTCTCTTCACCGTCATCATGAGGTCAGGGGTCATCAGGACCGTTTCTTATCTTCTCCATTGACTTTATGCGCTGACATGAAGTCCATGACGAGCTTGGCAGACTTCCTGGGCCGCTCCACCATCACACTGTGACCACAGTTGTCCAACAGCTCCACCTGACAGCTCGGATGTGCCGCCTGCAGCAGCGATGCCCCCGACACATCCAGCAACTGAGGGACAGGACACACGTTTATTAACAGCTCGTCATATGTGTGGTTCATTATATTAATCTTTTCAATAACAGTGTGAGCAGCACGGCTCCATGGTTAGTTTTAAAGTTGGTAAAGAAACAATGAAGTCCCACTTAGAAGGAACTTAGAATAAAAGATAAAATAAAAACAAGAACCACTGACACGATTAGAGACTATAATAATGTTGTTTTTTTACATTAAACTAAACTTTCTTCTTTAAACTTTTTTGCTATACTTTTTTAACTGTTTATTCTTTCACTTACAGTCGGAATCATCTTTTCATTTTCTTTTGCTGTGTAAAGCTGCATTCTGTGTATGAAATGTGCTGCAGAATAAAATATAATAAATGTATCACTAAGCTGTATCAATCAGTCTCTTTGTTGAATTTACATTCAGTGTGTCTCTGCCTTTTACTTTAATATATTTGGTTTCTAAGTGACCATCATCATCACTGGGATTCCATTACCTGGTCTTCCTTCCCCCAGATGACCTGCAGGGGCACTGTGATCTGATGCATGTTTTCCTGCAGCGAGTAACGAGACTTCTCCCCAGAGATCTCCAGTAACACTTAAACAATAAAAAATAAAACTTAATCACTGTTAAGATGATGCCAACAAAGTTTAAAACTTTTTTTTTTCCATTAACATCCACAACATGATCAACAATTGAAATGTTTTCATTTAATGAGGATTAAGAAAAAAAAGATTATTTTCCATAAGCGGCTTTTATTGTGAAGTACACTTGAAACTTTGCAGACTGACCTTCTTTGTAGAAGCTGTTGTTGGGGATTCTGTTGTCTAGTAAACCTTTGAGGACCTGACGAAACACACACACAACTTAAATGACCACCTTGCAGTCACATGCATCCTCCAGCCAGTGCAGGTCACCATAACCTTTGACCTTTAACCTTTAACCATTGATCATCTAATCAGTTCATCTGTAAATTTAAATGACAACTGATGATTTGATGATGATGATTTGAAGCATTGACATATCATCTTCAAGAGGCCGAAACATCTTTGAGTCCAAGTAAAAATTTGTACCAAGTGTGAATACTTTTCTTCAAGATGCTCCTGAGTTGTTGCATTCACAAGACCAGGACTGTGACTTTGACCTTTGACCTTTGACCATCAAATTCAAATCAGTTCACCTGCGAGTGAACCAAATTTGAAGCTGGAATTACCTGGAGCTGCTCTTGAGATATCACAAGACCCAAAATGTGTTTGGGCATATTCCAAATAACGCAGCAGCAGAAACAGCAGCTGTAGAAGCCCTGAAGTATTAATGTTCATGAGACAGACAGGAGTCCTGTACCTGTCGGTTGAGGTTAAGAGGGGTGTGGCAGCTGAGTCTCAGCATGTTCCTCATCTCCTGAAGTGTGTTGGGGATCAGAATGATCGACTCCTCCTTCTGACTCGCCTCCAGCTCCTTCATATGAGTGATGAACTCAGAGTCTTTGGGAGAATCCAGACCTGGAGCACAGAGAGGATGAGAAGAAGAAAAAAAGTTGAATTCTTCCTCATGAAAAAGTCTCAGGTTTGAATCCTGGAGGAAGACGATTTACCTGCCGGGCACATCAAGCTGACGGAGGACAGGTGAGCGGGGTAGCGGGCAGCGTACACCCCAGCAACATTCCCACCCATCGAGATCCCGAGCAGGTGGAAGGGTTTTTTATCGAGACCGATACTCTGCACAAACTGCACAGACAGAGAAGTGTTTAGACTCTGACCCACAGACCGTTCATAAAGATGGACAACATGACAGCTCCCATACAGTGAAGCCAAAGCATCTCAATCGCCCCCTGGTGGTTGGCTGCTGTATGGTCATAAACACACCTCGTTTATGTTAGTGGATGGGACATGGGCCGAGCTAAAACGTCAAGGTACATACATTTTTCTCAACGTTCAAACCCAGAGGAGTTCTCAGTTTTATTCAAAGTAATCGGATGTTTCATTTTTATCGGCTCTTAGTTGCATCGTATCTGCTTTACCCTTGGATTTGCCCGTCTCTGATATACGTAACTTCCTGGGGAAAATGACGTATGATGAAGGAAACACACACCACGAGCCAGTTAGCCAGTTAGCCAGTTAGCCAGTGGGCTGTTTTGTTTTTCACTGTCACTCTTTTTGGCCTTTTTGCTGCGAAACAAACCAACTTCACAACATCGTCAATCATCCCCAGTGGCCAAATTTACATATTCAACATTTAAGTTTGGTTATAATTAGTATGACGGTATAAAAATCAGGAGAAACATCCTAACTGGTCGAGCACATGTATTGGTGTATCTGGAATATTTTAGTATTATGGGGAAGTAGAGATCCATATTTATTTTCAGGCTGTGTCAAGCGTTTTCGTCCTGAAACCGGAAACTTTCACTGAACTCTTGTTTTGAACAGACCTGGTGGATCCGGGTGACCTGGCCCTGGATGCTGTAGTCCTCAACGCTGGTGCGACTCGTCCCCTCGTGTCCCGGCATGTCCACACACACTATATGCAAATCTTTGGGGAGGAACTAGTGGCAAAAATACAAACACACAGAAAAAATCCATCTTTTCTCATAATTCTTACTTTGTGTACATATGAAAAAAAAACAATGTTTGTGTGTATGTGCTACCTTAATGAGGGGCAGCCACATGTCCTTGCTGCCGGAGAAGCCGTGAAGCATCAGCAGCGATGGAACGGCGCCCCCTGGTGTACCGCGGCTGAAATAACCAAAGCGGTAACTTCCATTGTAAGAGTAGCTGAGCACCAGCCCCATCCTGCGACGTATAAACCTGCGAAAGATGACAGCAGAATGTTTAGGCCCAGATGTTCATCGCCGAGATGTTGAAGAGGGTGCACAGCTGTGTATTAAGCTGCTGCAGCTGATGTGAACGTCCACAAAAATCGAACGTCTGTCAACTCCATCAGGTGAAAATCCAGCACAAGTATTAAAACAAAATGTTGATTCAACTAGTCAGAGAGCCTTCACTGTTGATGCCTGATGACCAATCAATGTCTATAGACAAGTAATGTGCTACACACTTTATTTTACAAGACAAAATAACAGTCTACAGATGGATCTATGTACCCGTGTCTTTAGCTAATGACCTATTTCCAGCACTGAACTTATTTTATGTAATGTTTCACTGTTTCTGCTTTTTCTGTCTTGGTCTTGAACTTTACTCAGTTTCAAAGCTGCTGATAAAACTGTTACATGACAGTGACTCAGCACTCTGTGTGTGTGTGTGTGTGTGTGTGTGTGTGTGTGTGTGTGTGTGTGTGTGTGTGTTTGTGTGTTTGTGTGTGTGTTTACCAGTTGTAGGCCTTCAGCAGCGCTCCTGGCCAGAAGAGGAAGGTAATAAAAGTGAGGAATGGGAGGATGATAATACCTCCTGCTGGAACGATAACTTTAGCAACATTCAACTCCATTGCTGCACACACCTGTAAAAAAATAAACAGATCAAACACATTTGACAGGTCGTACATGTGCACACAGGGCACTGGATTCACTCCGATTCAATTGTATTTGTGTAGCATCTAATCATAACAATCATTATCTCAAGGCTCTTTCACTGGGGGGGTTGTGTCCCAATGAGCAGCAGAAGAGACACATTTGCATGAGGATCACAGACGACACTTAGGCTAAAAACTTGGTGTAAATGATGCCGATTCGAGACGAATGTGAATGTCGGGGCTTGCGGACACTTGGATGACTCCACAGGAACAGTATGGAGGCATTTTGTGTATTTTTTCTGTTGTTTTTATACGCCTGCAGAATTACCACCATTCACTTCAATTGTATTGGATTTGGCTGCAACACTATTCACCCCTCCATCTGCACAGTGGTGACTGGTGACTAGATGATGAGGGAAGTTTCATTTTTGGGTGAACTATCCTCTTCATGGACCTTAAAGAGAGAGAAGTCGTCTGAGTTTGTTTTGACAGACACCAGGAGCAAAGTCCCGAGATCCAATCCTCACCCAGAGGCGGACTTAACCATTAGGCAAAGGTCTGCAATTGCCTTGGGCCCCGAATTACCAGGGGCCCCATAAAGAACCTAATAAACTTATGGTTAAGGTTTTTTTTTAACTTTTCGTTAATTTATAATTTCTTTCTAATGGTTCATTCGCTAAAATGGCATCATAATGCCTATAATTCAAAAGTAACTAGTCTCTGCAACCCCCCTCTACAATGGACTGTTAATGGAAGTGACTCAGGGTGTACACAGAGACTGATGAGGAGTGTTGAGTGTTTCACACCATCATTTATAAGAACTATTTCGGTTCATACAGATAAAAATGAACAAGCTCACGTCGCTTTAAACACTGAGTCCTGTGTGTGTGTGTCACCTCTCATGTTGTACTGAGCGCACACATTATGTGAATGACTTGTTTTTCATGATGTTTGGATGCAACCTCATAAACTGTGGAATCAAACAAACTGAGTTACTTCATGCACTGATCAGGTCCTGATAACTAGTGATGAGTGTTTATTAGTGAGGGCAGGTCAGAGTGGGGGAGGAAACAGAAACTGCAGCTCTGATCCTGAAGAAGCTATGACCAGAGAAACTCTGTGTTTCCACTGTTCTTCAACTAAGTCTCTGAACGGCCGCTTCATGAACGAGCTCTGGTATTTCACGTGTATTCACGATGATTAGAAAAGACATGAAAAATAAAAACATTCAAGGGAGAGGAAGAGAAAGACAGGCACAAAGAGAAATACTTTTAAAAGTATATCTTAGTAGATACTTCTGTAACTCCATAATGGAGCTATTTCCTTGTGTGTTATCTTCTCACTTAATTCAAACCAGTTGTAAAACAGAGGCTCATCAATAACCTAATCTGAGATCCTGCTCCAGCTGGTTCAAAGTAAACACATTAATTAAAACACACTGAGTCATTAACATATTATTACCATCACACATCTGATCTGAATAAGTACTATACCTGTCA